TGTGATCCCGTTGCCGGTCCCGGTCCGGTACGGGCGCGACACTGAGGGTTGCGATCCGTTGCCGGACACGAAAAATGACAAAAAGGAAAAAAAAAAAAAGTTCATGGAGAAAAATAGAATTAAAAGATGATATATATAATTATATATAATATATGCATATATTATATATATACATATGTAATATATGCATATATATTTCCATGAACATTTTGGAGTACCTGGTAGAAGGGACATGGTGGGAAGCAGCTAAAAGGAGCCCACGACCAGCAAGCAATAAAAAGTAGCAGCTGACGGCCTGGCAGTGAGGGAGACGACTAAAGAACATTCAAAAGCAGATCTGAGTCTTAAAGAAATACAGGAATTTGGGGCCATTTAGCGTAGGAGCAAAAACCCCATCCTCCTCAGTTACTGGAGAAGACATCACTCTTATAGCCCAGATCAATACCTGAGAAATCCTTAATCAGTTGTGCACATGCCCTGATTAAGAACACAGGGACATAAATGATACATTTTAGAAAGAGCTCCATAGAAAAATAGTTAAAATAAATACCCTTTTAGGGCTTAAACAAGTCTGCTTCAGTCATCTGCGAAATCAACCTATATGGAATGCATCATCCCCCAAGTGGGTGAATGAGTTATTACTGGAATTAAAGTTTAAAATCCTCCAAACCCTGCCTGCTTAGCACCAAGGAAATATGGGCAAAGAGACCATCTGACCATGTTGTGACCATGTAACACAAAATAACTAAACAGAAGTGAGATAAGAGATGGTTGAAAGCTAAGTTGGGCACTGGCTGTGGGGTTGTCCCTCAATCCCTGAGAAGGAAAGGTGATGACTTCCTGCAGGGATCCCCAGTGTCAGCGCAAGGGGGAGATTCCTGGGCAGTTTTTCACCTAGTAACAGGCCTCTGTGTTCTGTGCTTCCATCCAGGTTGCCTTTTTCCTCTATAATGGGGTGTCGCTGGATCAATTTGTGCTGCAGGTAACCCATCCACGTTACTTGAAGAACTCCCTGGTTTACCACCCTCAGCTCCGAGCACAGGCTTGGCGCTACCTGACGTATATCTTCATGCATGCAGGGTGAGTACCTGTCTTCTTTCGCTGTCAGGAGTCACTACAGAAAAATAAGTGGTCCAGGTAGCCTGGACTGAAATCTATTTTTTAGTTTATTTTTATCTACTTGGACATAGGATTTGAGATGGCTGCTTGAAACTTACCTGATACTAAAATACACGAGTAAATTATTGATACTGTAAGGGAAAGGGAAAATATTGGGGGGAAAATGCTAAAAGCCAACAATGAGGGCTGGCCTGGTGGCGCACTGGATAGTGCGCCGCTTGGGAAGCGCGGCGGCGCTCCCGCCCGAGGGTTCGGATCCCACATACAGACCGGTTCCCGCTCACTGGCTGAGCGAGGCGCGGGAGCGACACCGAGGGTTGCGGTCCCGTTGCCGGTCCCCGGTCCGGTACGGGGGCAACACTGAGGGTTGCGATCCGTTGCCGGACACGGAAAAAGACAAAAAGAAAAAAAAAAAAAAAAAGCCAACAATGACATCAACACACACATACTCAGCATGTGATTCCATGTATTTGCTCGAGGTGGGTTGAAAATTTGTTCTGAGTTTCCTAGTGGCCAAGGCAAAGAGGGTCATATGATCAGCCACCAGATTCATTGTCCATAAACTGTGTGTGTGAGTGCCCACACAAGTGAAAGAAAGGACTAATTTATTGAAACCGCCTTCTTCCCAAGGTGGTTTCCATCTGTGGTGAGGGTCTTCTTAAGGTACTCTGGCAATAATTATAGTTTCTGTTTACAGAGTTCTGTGGCCTCTTTTGGGGCTGGAATGCAATCAGTTCTCATGAAAAGGACCTACCAGCTGACCCGGTGACCATCCAGGTCCAAGTCTCTTGAAGAGCAGTGATCTTGGCTGGAGGCTGTTCTTACATAGCAGAAGTTGGGAAAGTAGAAACCCCAGAGACCAGGGCTCTGTGGTGTCTTCTATAGCCTCTCCAGAGAAGTGAAGGAGCTTACTGTTTGGGGAAAACCCTGGGGGTGCCTTACCGTGGGGTTGGAAATGGGAAAGGATAACTCTGGCCCAATGGCCCCATCATTCCTATTCCTCAGCAGAAAGACCCACAATGGCCAAGAGGGAGTTCTGTTGTGAGCCTCCCTTCCTGCTAAGCCTCTGAAGCCGGCACAAGAGCCCATCCCTAACGGGCTTTAGGGTGAGGAGGCATCTCAGCAGTTGCCAATGAATGTTTCCATTCTGGGCCAAAGGGCACCATCAGTATGGGCTGATTGCCTTGCCTGGAATTCCCAGGCTTTGATCTCACAGGGCTAGGGAGCAGAGTGAGGGAGGCGTGTCCTGCTTCAGTCTTCTCATGAGCCAACAGGAGACAATAGAAACTGGGGGCTTCCCTGCCCGGGCTGCCAAGCCAGTGGCTGCACATGGGTTGGGACTACCTGCCTTATGTTAAAGACTGTCCTCTGACCTTCCCTAGTCCCTCGGGTGAGGGAGGGGAATGGCCAAAGCCTTCTTGCTTCATTCTCTGCCTCCGGGAGCCAAAAGCAGTGTGCTTGCAGTGGACAGGGCACAGATGCCGCAGCTGAGGCCCACAGGGTGGCCTCAGCCCTTTTCCTGGCAGTTGCTCCTGATGGGGCAGTGCCTGCCAGCGAGAACCCTGAGAGGATTCTCCAGGTCTATGGATTTTGAGGGAGGTGCTCTTGGCTGGTGCAGCAAAGATAAGCACAGCCATAAACAGAAGATAGGGGCACCTGGCCAGCATCTGGGGAGCTCCCAGCAAGGTAACCCATTACTCAGAGGCATACTGTGGGCCTGGGAATCCAGAAGTCAGTATGGTAGTGAAGAAGGAGTTCAGACTGAGAGGCAGGAGTGCTGGGTTCTCCTCACCTAGCCTCTTCCAGTCTCAGGTTCTGAGGCTATAAAGTAAGGGCATGGGACCAGAAAACCTCTAAGACCCCTACAACTATTAGTCTGATGCTATCAACCAACTCCTTTCCAGTGAATTTTTCTTTTTCTTTTCTTTTTTTTTTTTTAAAATTGACTGGTAAGCGGATCTTAACCCTTGGCTTGGTGTTATCAGCACCGCACTCTCCCGAGTGAGCCACGGGCCGGCCCCAGTGAATTCTTCTGACATTGCTAATCTCTGTAGAATCCTTGAGCTAGCACAGTCAGTGGAGAGTAGAAGATGCCAGCATGGTGGGAATTCAGGACACAGCCCAATCTGTCTGAGCAACTTCGCAGGTGCCTCCTGAGTAAGCAGGTACCCACGTGTCCTCCACATAGCACAGTTGGGCCTCCAGGCAGAGCCCTGCAGACCAGGAGCAAGACTGTGACCCAGGCCAGGCCCCTGACCCTTATTATGTGCTCTGTTACTGCACAGCTTACACCATCCCTAGGGAGCTGCCCAGGTGCTGTAAGCCCAGTTTAAATGAGACCATGGATGTTAACGTTGTCTGTAAACTTAAAAGCACCACATCGACTTAATAATAGCAATGTTAACAATCTTTTCTGGTAACACGTGCACTTGGCTGGTTACCCCACATGTTTAGCAACAAGATCTGGTCATAGGTGTCAAGTAGCGTACAGAGGAAGGCATTCACAGGGTCAGAAAACCTGGGTTCCCATCTCTTAGCCCTGAGAGGTTTGGAGCAGAACTGGTCCCTTCTCATCTGAGAAAGGAGAAGCCTCTCCTAGGTGACTTGAAGAGAAAACTTTGAATTATTAAGTACAAGCGGTATCTTTAATGCCTGCACTTGTTCTGAGAACATCTTTCTCTTTAAATATCATAGCTCTTACAAATAGAGAGCCAGAGACCACGTGGGCTGGTGACTGGAGCGCGTCAGGCAGATCACTGTGGTCCCAGCTTGGCCACTAACCTGCTCACTTGGTCACTCAGCAGTGACTTTAAGCCAGTCTCTGCCACTCTCTGAGGCTTGGCTTCTCACATGTTAACCGACGGAGTTGCTGGATCTTGACTGTGGTCAGTCCCTGTCACTGTGGCAAGGGCAGACACTTCCAGCCACCACCCAGGCCCTGCATGGGTTCTCGCCCAGCTGGAAGGAATGCTATTCCTATGAGGGACTGTTGTCCCTGTCACTGTGGCAAGGGCAGACACTTCCAGCCAGCACCCAGGCCCTGCATGGGTTCTCGCCCAGCTGGAAGGAATGCTATTCCTATGAGGGACTGTCTGCACTGCCCTTCCTCCCCGAGACTGTGAGCTCCTCACTGGCAGAGTTAGCCCTGTTCACTGCTGGATCCCAGGTATCCTGACCTGCAATGTTTGCTGAATGAGTGAATGCATGAATGAATGAATGAATGAGTGTGGTCTCTCTGTCACAGGATAGAACACCTGGGACTCAATGTGGTGCTGCAGTTGCTGGTGGGGGTGCCCCTGGAGATGGTGCATGGAGCCACCCGGATCGGGCTTGTCTACATGGCTGGCATTGTGGCAGGTAGGCAGATAGGCCCCACGTCCACAGGGTAAACCTCCCCAGGGCAGGCTGGGAGACCCCGTGGTATGGGGCAGGCCCCAGGCTTCCAGGGCACACAGAGCAGCCTCATCACCAAGGCTCCTGACTACTAGGGCTGTCCTCCAGGCAAATCTCTCCCCTTCCCCAGCAGGCTGGAAAGGGGACTGCCAGCCAGAGAGCGAGGTGTGTGAAGGTGAAGGAGAGGAGCGCACAGGTTTTGGAACAAGCAGAATGACTTTCAGTCTTCATGTCATCATTTTGTAGCTGTGTGAGCCTGGGGAGATTTCTTAACCTCTCTGAGCCCCATTATGCTTTAAGAAGAAACTGTTGGGACTTGCCTGTGGGGATGTTGGGAGGGTGGAGTGAGGCAGCACATGGAATCACAGGGCTGTGTAAATGCTGCAAGGACACAGCGAGATCCCTGGCGGGGCATCAAAGGTGGGGGGGTAGCTGGTATCTCCCTGACCAGGACAGCACCTGTACCCAAAGGAAGACCTTTCCTCTACCCAGACCAGCCACTGTCACCTTGCTTGACGCACTGCTGACAAGAGAGTCTGGCCTGAGAGGTAGTGGGCTCTCACTACAGCTGCAGGAGTCTGAGGTCTCCGGCTACCTCAGCACACATGTGGCTGTGGCAGGGGATCATCCCTCATGGATAGGGAGTGACCAGCATGACTTTCAGTGAGCCCTCCCAGTGGGAGGTGAGGAGGAGTGGAGTGAGCTGCAGAGAGCAGAATGGATTTCTGCAGGGAAAGTCTCCCTACCAGGCTTCCGAACATAGGGATCTCCCTCGTGATGTTTCCAACTTTACTGCTGGCCTTTTTTTTTTTTTTTTTTTTAAACAAGGTTTGCCGCCTCAGCTTTTCAGCTTGACAGCTGTGCCCAAGGGAGCTTTGCGTGTATGTTTAAGTAAGATCTTAATCCTTTCTGAGTGGCATTAAAGTTGTCATCAGGAGAGGAGGGCAGAATCAGCTTTGTAAACAGGCAGGCTGGGTGGGACCCTGGGAGTAACTGAGGTGGTTTCAGAAATCGAGGAGGGAACGGTCCCACCCCACCCACCCGAGGCTGAGAGAGTCACCCAGCACCACCTCCGTAGCTCCTCTGTGTGCTGGGGTTTGAACCTTTGGCCACCTTGGCCAGCACTTCTGCAAGCCTCTCCCTGAATCTAGCACCTACCACGTCCTTGACAAAGGTCTAGTGAGCATCTCTATGTGCCAGACTAGCTCAGCCACCCACACACCCCCTAGTCCTGCCATCTGGGGATTTATAGCTGCAGTTTCCATAGCTGGATACCCAGGAACCCAGATGTTAAATGGCGAGGAACAAGGAAGATACTCGTATTCAATTAGATGGGAATGCCAGTAACCTAGAAGACAAAAATAAGATTCAAAATGACTCAGACCTTGCCCATACCAGGTGACATGCAGTGGGGAGACAGTGGCTGTTTACTCTAAACCACTACCACAGTGTGAAGAGAACCAAAAGCTAGGCCTTTTCCTTTGTGCAGATGATTTATTGTCAGAAACCAAGGCCCTAGTAGATATCTGGCCATACTCTCTAATTCTTGCCCAGTGAATGTATTCCAAGTCCAGGGCCTTCCCATTTTGTAACAGTGATGGCTGGCCTCAACTGAGCAGGTATGGTGCTCCAGGCATATGATAAAGGGTTCATGTATGTTATCACCTGTATGCATCACAATGATCCTCCGGGTGGGGGACTAACACCCCTGTTTTACAGGCAGTTCAGAGGTGAAATGACTCGCTCACTTTGCTCAGCTGCAAAGTAGTAGAACTGGGGTGGAGCCCTTCCCAGGCCCTGCTCTTTGAACCAGTGCTTGAGACCGATGTTTAACTCACTCACAGCTAACAATTGGACGGCTAACAATTTAGGTACTTTAAAAACCAGTATCTTAAATGTAGCACCGAGATTTTACTATAGATTATATAGATTATAAGCCGTGTGTGCATCCCCAGAGCCTAACACAGGGTTTGGCACATGTTAAGCAATAAATGTTTGTAGAATAAATAAAAGAATACATAAATAAAGTTACATTGCTTAAAGATAATGTTCTGCCAATTTTTATTTGGATTTTTTTTCAGCAGCCAGGGAAGATGTTAAAGAACACCTGCTTTAAATTTTTCCAGGCCGGGCTGACCCGTGGCTCACTCGGGAGAGTGCGGTGCTGATAACACCAAGGCCCCGGGTTCGGATCCCATATAGGGATGGCCGGTTCGCTCACTGGCTGAGCGTGGTGCTGACAACACCAAGTCAAGGGTTAAGATCCCCTTACCGGTCATCTTTTAAAAAAAAAAAAAAAGAAAACAAAATTTATTGTTTATACTTTCGGAGGCTGGGAAGTGCAAAGTCTAGGGAACACATCTGGCCAGGGTCTTGGTGGTGGCAACAGTGACCCAGTGGTCTTACATGGCAGAAAATGGAAGAACAGAGACAGAAACACTCACGTGCTCTCCTTTTAAAGCCCTCAGAACCATGCCCGTGACCACCATTATTAATCCATTCACAAGTCCCCAATTTATCTGTGTGCTAGCATGGATCCAGAATTCTTTTTGGAAAATTCTTAGCCCTGACTAGCACTAGTCTCTTGGTCTGCGCTGTGCAGAGGTGTGGTGTGTCACTTCCTGTCCTCTGCCCCCATGACTTCTGTGGGATTCATACTGGCCTTATCAAACTGTCATCTGGCAGGTTCATAACAGCTGTGGAGGAATCCTGCCTGGCCCACACTTTCTGCCTGGGGGTGGCCTTTATTACTCTATTTATATGTGTACACCCTCATGTTTGTGTTTTGTCTCTGCCAGTCACTCTAGTCCAGGGCTAATCTGCAATAATTTGAGGTATAATTTATACCACAAATGGAGGGCAGGTGGGTCCAGGCCATTACCTTCAAGATCTTCGAACCAGGATCCAAGCCTCGGCCCCAGGATATTAGGCCAAGACTCAGATTATTGAATTCCTGATGTAGGAGGAACTTTTGAGGCCCTCTCCTGTGGGTGGCAAACTTTGCTCCCTAGTCCCCATCCCCATTTAGCCAGAGCTGCTCTCTGTGCTCTGGCCATGGTTAGGCGGTCCCATAAAGCTTTCCTTTGAAAACTTGCTGCTCACAAATTGGAAAGCTTTAGACCTCCTCATTTCGCAGATGTGAAAACTGAAGCCTGAAGAATTCAAGGGCTTATGCCCAAGGGCACACAGCTAGCCAACTACACCCCCATTCCATATTCCTGCCACATCCCAAAGTGACCCTTGGCCCTGGGGTCAGGACTCTGAACCATGGCAGGGTGAGGAAAAGGTCAGTGTGAGCAGGCTTGACCCTGGCAGGGGCCCTGGTGGATCACGCTCTGGACCGGTTTGTAGGGACCTGCTGCCAGAAGAGAGTCCAGCCCTGGAGGCTGGGGCTTCCTCTGTCCAAGTGGTAATTAATGAGGTGCAGTTTGGGCTGCCAGCCCTCCGCAGCCCTGCAATGCAGCCTTCTCACACGGCCCCGCAGGAGAGCGTGGGAATCCTTTGTCATGCAGATCCCGCTGCCTGTCTGTTTGCCACCCTCGGATTTTTTTCTCCTGTTATATATGTCTGACCCTGTGGTTAGGCAGGGAAAAAAAAAAAAGAAAGTTAACTGACAATAGATCAATACCTAATTAAAGCCAGAGGGAAGGCATGAAAGATTTATAGTTGCCCTGGGAAGGGAGAAGGACTTCGGAGTCCTCAGTTCATGACAGTTTGGGTTTTTACTGATTACATCCCCTGGGAGACCAAGAATTGGTTGTGGGGACCTCTTCCTGGAGGGATCTCATTGAATGGAGGAGCCTTGAGGGAGGTGGGGTGGGAGGAGGTGGATGATGTTATGGGAGCTCCCTATATCCAGCCATGAGGCACTCTGGTTCCTGGGCTGGACCCATCCTCCTGCTAAGTCATGGATGCTCCGCCCTATAGAACCTGCGGAATTCAGCTTTCCGCCTGTGCCGCCTCTCTCCAGCGCCTAATTGGCTCATGAGCCTGCGGGCATTTCCAGTGGTGACTTTTGCACGCTCACCCAGGCCAGCCACCCCCATCTTCGGAGCCTTGGGCTCTACCTCCTAGTTATTTTTAGTCTCCTATGTCCTTCCCTGGAAGCCAAAGCATTGATCACACTTAAATGAGACCAGAACAATAAATTCCCCATCGCCTCTCTGCCCAGCTTCCCTCCCAGGACAAAAGTTTGTCATCCCCCAGACCAAGAGTCGTCTACTCTGCCTTTCCCCCAGAGGGTATGACATCATCTCTCTCTCTCTTCCCGGTGACTTTTCAAGGACATTATTCCTCCCAAGGAGCCCCACCCAAGAGATCCTGTTGGCCTTTTGTGATTTAGCTCGGCTGGAGAAAGGTTGGAGATGATGCCGAGCAGGATTCTAGATGCTGTTGGGCAGAGAGAGTGGTGGTAAAGGGTGGAGGTTAACCTCGGTACCAGTTTGGGAAGTGGTTGCTAGAGAGGCCAAGAGCACGGGCTTGGGTCAAGAACATGGGGTTTGTGTCAGGCAGACTTGGAATCAAATTCTGGTTCTGGTATCTCCTACCAGGAGACTCAGCTCAGTTTCCTCATCTCTGCAGTGAGGCACCTGCCTCAAAGGACTGTCTTGAGGACTGAGGGAAGAATGCATATAAAATGCTTGTCCAGTATCTGACACAGTGCCCTCTAAGTGGCAGTGTTTCTCTGATCACTACTGCTACTATTTTCGTTATTGCTCCAGAACTCTGAGCTAGCACAGTGCCAGGCAGAGGTTGGGACGAGAAGCAGATGATCTGGGTCATACTCCCGGTTCCACTTCAGGCAAGTCACTTCCCTTCTTTGAGTCTTTGCTTCCCATCTGTGACATGAGAAGGCAGAATCAAACAGTTCTTTCCATCATATATTAATCTAGGAAATGCATAGGAAGCTTCAAGGGAATGTGGAACCAAAGGAGGAAGAGGGATCCTCTAGCTCTGGAGTCTCAGCAACGAGGCTGCAGAGTCCAAGGCCTGGGGCTGGGGTGGGGGAGCCGAGTGCAGCATCTTTGAGAATTCTCACTCTCTTTCTGTCCCAGGGTCCTTGGCAGTGTCTGTGGCTGACATGACGGCACCAGTGGTGGGCTCTTCTGGAGGGGTATATGCACTCGTCTCTGCCCATCTGGCCAACATCGTCATGGTGAGTACCTCCTCTTCCCAGCGTGTCTTTCCTGCCCTCTCCTTTGCTATCACTGGGCCTGGGCCTTAATCCACTGGAGCTGGCCCAGCCCTGGCCCATTGAGGCAGACCTGGCTGGTAAAGAGTTCACACTCTCTCCTTGCCCTCTGCAGGCCTGTGTCAGATGGGCCACCTCCATATGCAATTCATATTCTTTCCAGTCATGGCTTGGCCAATGGTTGTGCCCATCTCCCTATTCCACCTCTTTCCCATTCAGTGACTTTAAAAATTGCTAAAATGTGACCACTGGCTTGCATGGTCATTGCAATTTCTTGTTTGTCATTGGTTGTTAAAAGTAGAAGGGCCTGAGAGATCATCTCAGCAAAATTCTCAAATAGGAAAGGAAGCTCTGAGAGGTTAAGTGATTTGTCCGAAGTCACAATCAAAGGGCTGGCCGGTTAGCTCAGTTGGTTAGAGCATGGTGATAGTAACACTAAGGTCCATGGTTCGATCCCCATACTGGCCAGCTGCCAAAACAAAACAAGTTACTATCAAGCTTGTGGCAAGACTGGGACTTGAACCCATATCTCCTGACCACCATTCAAGTGTTATTCCTCTCCAGCAGTCTCTCATGGTGGCAAGACACCATTCCGTTTCCCAGGCTCTCTTGGCCTTTTCTTGAAAGGCTGTCCAGTGCCATGGTTAAGAGCATGGGCCAAGGGGACAGTCAGCTGAGGTCTGAGTCCCAGCTACCCGCTTCCTAAGGAGGACCTTGGGCAAATGACTTAACTGCTTTGTGCCTCAGTTTTTACATCTGTGAAATGGAATGATATGCAATGAATGAGGTAAAGTGAAAAATAACCACTTAATATAAATGTTATTAATTCCCTCCTCCTCACAGAAGAGGCCAGGGTGGCTCAGACTAGACAAAGCCTTCAAGGCAAGAAACTGGGATGAATTTGATGGTTCTGGAGGACGCCTGAGTCCGTGGTCTGGAGGCAGTCTGAAGTCTGGAGGCTGAAGCAGGGGCACTGGTGGTGCTTGGCTGGCTCTGCCTGGCCTGGGAGCCTCCAGATCTCACTCATCTGCTTCCCGGGACCTGGCATAGTGCCGGCACGTGGTAGATGGTGCCCACTAGATGTTGGTGAAGGAAGGAAGGAAGACAGGTACAATGTCCAGAAATGACGTAGCTTCTATATGGGGTCCTCTGGCTGCCACCTCCCTCCTCCATTGGTGACATCACCACACAGCAGGTGTGTGGACGCTCAGTGGTAGCAGCTTTTGGAGTTCCTAAATTCTCCTGTGTTCCTCCTTACCAGTCCCGCTCTCACCTGCCCTGCTCCATCACCGTCTCTTTTTTTTCACCGAAGTCCCCTTTGTACCCTCAGAGAGAGAGAGAGAGAGAGAGAGAGAGAATGAGAGGGAGAGAGGGAAAGGGGGTGGCAGGGAGAGAAACAGATGTTAAGTGACTACACTTGCTACTAGCCTGAATTTTCGCAACTTCAGGTGAGTGCTGAGAGACTCATGTGAATGTGAGAGTCTGCAGTGTGTGGGTGTGCATGTGCATGTAAGTAGGTGTCGGAAAGCATGTGAATGTGAGAGTCTGCAGTGTGTGGGTGTGCATGTGCATGTAAACACACGTGCAGCTCTGTCTGCTGAAAACCCAAGAGCACAGGACTGCCTCCCATGGCCCTTTTAAATGGGTCATTCTGAATTAGTGCCACATCTTTCCCCAGACACAGCTTTTCCTCTGAATTCTGCCTCCTCCACTCCCCCCTCCCCCTGCCCCAATTCCTTGTGGTAGGGAAAGGAAATGCTAACCTCCTCGCCCCCCCCCCCCCCCCCCAAGATGCATATGTGTGTAGGGGGGATGCCCAGGCACCACTGAAAGAGAACATGGGAAAGAAGAAGCAAACAGGAGTTCATAGAGATGCCCTGTTCCCAGCCCTCCCCACCGCATGGGAAACAGCCCTGGCGCCCTGGCAGTTCCCATGGTGAGGGCAGCCCACCCAGGGACCACGGGGTAGGGCATGAGGTCGGGGCAGTGTGCAAGCAGTTTTGTTCCAGTTTACACTTATTTCTGGTGAGCATCCCTGGCATGGGGCCCTGGAGGTGAGCGGTCCCATCTGAGAGCCCAGTGCCTTCGCAGAAGCACGCAACCTTTCTTTAGGCAACTGGGAGTCTTGCCATCCCCAGAGCATGACATATGGGTAGCTCTTTCCTAGAAAGTTGTGTGGTGCTTATTGACGGTGTAAAAAACCTTATTTTCTCACTAGAAAGGTTGGTTTTCCTCCATCAAAAGGCCACCTTTACCCAAATTAGCTCAGAGCCAAGCAATTCAGAGATGCATCGGGTTGACCCATAAGAAATTGCCAATTGTGTGGGCCAGAAACATTTAAACATTAGCAGTATCATACGGTTCAACCTAATAGATATGCTGTTGTTTTCAATTCCAGTATGAAGATTTGGGGTGTGTGTGTGTGTTTGTGCATGCACAATAAAGCACCTCATCAGAACAGAAGGCAGAAAAAGCATAGACTTAACAGTCAGAGAAGCTGGATCTGAGTACCAGTGTCACTGTCTTAGTAACTGAGAGTCTATTACCCTTAACTTCCTGGGGCTTCAGAGTCCCATCTTCACAAGGTGGTTGTTAGGAAGACATGAAGAAATGGATGTGAAAATGCTTTCCATATGTCACATCACCACACAGCTGTGAGATCCTATGTGTACATATGTATGTGTGTGTTTGTATGTATTTGTATATATATAATTTTTATCTTTATAAATTCTGCCTGATATTTATATAGAGAACAATTGGAAAATGTGTTCTTTTTGCTTCAGCTACAATATCAAAAAGTGTTGAATGCTTCTGTTCTCAGGACTGTTTAAATGAAAGATTCTGCCTTAAATGAAAGTATGTCTTATTCTTTGTAAAAGCACATTATGTATCAAAAAGCTCTCAGTTTTCATCAAGGAACTAAATTCAGAAAATATTTCAAAAAAAGATTTGGAATGCAAAAAGACCTACAATCAAGACTTCTTATTTTAAACACTAGAAATACAAAGATACACCTAATTGAATAATTTATTAATTGCCTTCTTCTGGGTCTCATAGACCAGAGTTCCATTTTTAAATATACAAGATATTTACTTACACTTTGCTCTGTATGATAGATGTTTTCCCAAAATGTTTGAGATCCGGATTTTTACAAATTAAACCATATTGTCAAAGTACGAGTAAAGATTGTTGTCTAAAAAACACAAAAGACTTCTTTCATAAGGTTCACTTTATTAAGTAAAAATCCCTTTTTAGGACAAATAATCACTTCCTAATTTATCTGTGTCATGCTTTCATGTTTCCCATGTGGGATTTTCTTGAAGTCATTTGACAGGAAACTCTTCCTACCAGAGCTGTATAAAGCTGCATTGGAATGGAAGCTCCCCGCCTGGGTTTCAGCCTCTGAGCTCGTAACTGGTTGTATGAGCAAGATGTTACTGACGTGTTTGCTGTGGGTGAGTTACTATCTCACCCTGCAAGGCTCTGGGAGAGAATGAAATTAAAGGGCCTGCAAAAAGGTTTGTGTTCCCCAGGGGCCTGCAGGCTTTTCAACATTTATAGCAGCAGCAGCGGCAGCAGCACTGGCTGTATGTGAGATTTTTGTCTTCTCTCCTGTTGTTTCACTGCACTCGTTTCATTGGAGGGAATAATGGGTCTGGAAAATAAGGCAGCTGGTGGAAAGGGTTGACTTTTCAGTTTAACCCCTCAGCTGAGATAGGTCATTTACTGATGTTTGTTCAGCGTGTGAGCAGCTGGGTCAGACAGCAGAGGCTGCAGCTGAGTCAGACAGCAGGGACAGACAACATGGGCAGATGGATTGTGACCCTGTCTGTAAAGTGTGGGTGGACAGAACCCTGGACTGGGAATCCTATCAGCTCACCATTAACTCACTGTGACCTTGAACTAGCTCTCTGGATCCTCAGTTTTTTCTTCCCTAAAGTGCAGGACCGAGGGTTATATGGGATCAGCGTTGCAAACTGTTGCTTTCAGGGGCCAGGCAAGTATGGTAAATTCATGAAGCTGGCTTGGGAAGCACTGTGGCAAAACCGCAGCTCTCTGGCTGTGTTCGAGGTCATTCGGGTTCAGATTTTTAAAGGTGACCTGCAGGGCAAACTCACCGTCTTTGCCTTACTTAGGTCTGGATGCTAATATCAGATGCTTATATGACACCTACCATATGCCAGGCAGTGTTCTTAGTGCCTTACACTTCTAATTCATTTCATCCTCACAACCACGGATGAGACAGGTAATTGAGACTGGTATTGTTATCTCATATTCACAATGAGGACACTAGAGAAAAAGTAATTCTGAGCCCCCACCAATGGCCATGCCAGATCAAGCATATGGATGGTGCTTACTAAGATAGGGACCAGAAGGGCACAGAGACAGGACGTCAGCCGGAGGAGAGAGCAGCCCGTACAGTCTAACTTACTTCACCTGATGCTATCACTCAGAACACCAGGAAAGCACCACTGCCTTCAGATAAGATGTCCAGAGGGTTCTTAAGAGGAAAAGAGATGTTAGAAGTGTTGCCTGATGCTATCACTCAGAACACTGGGAAAGCGCCACTGCCTTCAGATAAGATGTCCAGAGGGTTCTTAAGAGGAAAAGAGATGTTAGAAGTGTTCTGTATCACTTTTGTTTGTAATTGTGGTGACATGTAACAAAAGTTACCACCTTAACTATTTTAAGTGTCCAGTTCAGTGGCATTAAATACATTCACACTGTTGTGCAACTGTCTTCACCATCCAGCTCCAGAGCTCTTCTCATCTTGCAAAACTGAAATTCTGTACCCATTAAACAATGGCTCCCCATTCCCCTCACCCAGCCCCTGGCATCTACCATTTTATTTTCTGTCTGCACTAATTTGACTGCTCTGGGGACCTCATATAAGTGGAATCACACATTATCTGTCCTTTTGTGACTGGCTTACTTAGCATAATGTCTTCAAGGTTCATCCATGTTGTAGCATGTGTCAGAATTTCCTTCTTTTTAAAGGCTGAATAGTATTCCATTGTATGTATACGAGGGTACTTCAAAAAGTTCATGAAAAGGGGCCGGCCCCGTGGCTCACTTGGGAGAGTGCGGCGCCAGGAGCGCAGTGGTGCTCCTGCCGCAGGTTTGGATCCTATATAGGGATGGCCGGTGTTCTCACTGGCTGAGCGCAGTGCAGCCAGTCTCAAAAAGGACAAAAAAAAAAAAAAAAAAC